ACACCACAATGTAGCCTCCTTCCTGAAATATTTTTTCCCCAGATGATGTCAAGAAGAATCTTTCCTAAATCTCTCTATACAAAAAACAAACAAACAAAATCTCATCACTTTATTATTATTAAAAAAAAAAGTGGTGGGGAATGGAAAACAAGCTATGCATAGGCCTGTTTAATATCTTTTTATCCTGCTTACTTACTGATGTCATTTATATCACTTAAGACATCACTGCTACATAAGAGTTCAAACTCACAACCACCAAGCTGTGTATCTATGTGATATGCACAAGTATCTTAAAATCATAATTAATAAACTTGCCTTTTAAAAACAGAAAATACTGTCCCTTTGATGATGTAAAATTAGTTTGAATAGCATTAGAAAAAGATTAAAAATTTCTATGTAGTACTTGATAATCATATCAACTAAAATTTGACAGATGAAAATGATGGACACCTACCAGCCCAGAAGATGACTATTTTTACTAGTTACAAGATATAACATTCATGTCTGAAGAATACATGTGTTATTTGCATCACACGATTACATTGCTCCATCAGTCATTCCTGTTACATACACATTCCAATACAAAGACTGGGTCAGTGTCTACACTTATGACAAATAAGCATGAAGTAACTGGAGGTATTAAGCATAGGATAGAGGCATCCAACACTCATAGGTCATGTGCATCTAAGCTAGAATAGCTCAGCATTTTCACAGCAGGAAGTAGATTGTGTGCTGTACAGACTATAAATGGTGATGCTGACAAGCATTATAAAAAGACAGACTCTTGTCCAGATGCTAGAAATTCTACAAACCCATTAGAACTCCATGAGAGAAATTTAAACTAAAATAGTGTCTATTTGAAAATGGATTCAAAAACTCTCATTTACAGTAAAGTTGTGACTTTCATGTAATTACAAAACTCACAATGAGAGCTAAATGCATACAAGTCTATGGGGGCATCAACTATTTTTAGCATTTCTATGATTATCTAGAAGAAAAAAAAAAATACCAACTGCTTTTCACCACAAGTAGCACATTAAGTAGCACGTTCTTTTCAACATCTTTCTACTCCAAATTAATCAAGCTGTAATTACTAGCCTCTATTGGATATTTGGATATACATTGGACTATTTGGATATACATTTGAGGGATGCCCTGAGAAAATTCATAGTCTTTAAAAGAAAAAAAAAAAAAAAAAAAAAAAAAAGAGTTTTGGAATTTCCTACACATTTGCTGATATTTTTCCCCCTACACGTCCTGTTATATACAGTACTATTTGTATATTGTACTTCAATACAATTCAAACTCCCCAGTTTCACTGCATGACCTGAATATATAGAAAAAAATAGATAATGACTTTAACTGGCATATGACAATAGGCTGTTAATCAAAACACCCAGTTTATAAATCTTCACTACGTAACAATTTCTTTTTCTTTGTAAACTATTCAGGTGGTATAGCAGAGAAGGAATTAGAAAGAAAGTATTTGATCTGAATATTATAACCCTGGAACATTACTCATTCTGATTCACGCAGCCTATTGACTTTTTGGGTGTACTCTGCAAATGAGAACAGTGAAGTGACCCCAACTGCCACTTCTTATGGAACTTGAATTCCAGGAAAAATGCTTAACTCATCAGACATTTGAGCTTATTTCTTCCAATCAAAATATATTAGTAGATATAATGAGAATAAAAAATCTATTTCCTTACAAGACAATTTTGATATGAACACCATCCAAGACATTTTTTAAAGACATAATAAAACATCCTTACTATTACTCAACAATGTGCATTCAATGAGCATATTACTTGCCTTATTTTCCTGAGTTTTAATTAAGGAGGTGGAACAGGAAAAACCTACAGCACTGCAAGCACGTATGAGTGAAGCTGGCAGCACACATGACTGAAGCTGATCTAACTTCAAGATACAGATGCATAGGGGTGTAGATAAAAGACAAGTTGGATGAGGAATTTCACCATCCCTTCAAGAGCACCCCAAACCTGAGTTAAGAGTAGACTTTAGCCCTATTTTCTGGCCATTTAAATCCTCAGTCAGCAGATTACATGATTTTTTCATACAATGCTTTCAAACCCAAACATGATAGACTCTGTAGCTCTCACAGACAAGTTGCCCAGCTCTCTTTTTTCCTTTCCTGCAATGTAAAGAAGATGGCAGTTATGTCTCATGGACAGACAGGAAGAAATAGGTTGTTCTAATTCAGCTAGATTTTCTCTGTCCTCAGGTAGAATGACTTGCCCTCCTAAGAATCTTATCTTGGTAGTCAGAAAGCCAGGAATCTGCATCTGCCCCAGTTCTTTCAGCAGTTCAAACCTGAGTTCCTTATTTTGCAGAAAAAAAAACACCAAACCAAAACAAAAATTTAGATTACCTCTGCTCATGGACAGATATTATTTGAATGCTTTTATATAGCTGAGTTCACATTGAGGATACTACTGCATTCTGACACATGCAAGCGTGTCAATAAGTAAAAGACAAATGTTTGCTGGGCATTCAAATGTATGTTGTATTCCTAAGTTTTGTAAACGCATCAACTACCACAAAGTATTTGAGAACCAGTAAGTCCAAGACAAAAAAAAAATGAAGAAGGCATACGTATAAACTTAAGTCGCTACTGGCCTTAGAATTGCCATAAAGTTCCTGCTCTTCCATTCTACAGTAATGTAGCCTTGTTAAGCAAACTATGTACATTAGGTTGAAGAGCAAATTCAAATGCTTACTGTCCTTGAGTTGCCTTTGCCACTACACAATAATATTATTTAGTGCTTTGGTGTCTTCTCACAAGTGCAGTAAGAACAATTGAGACCTAGGAGTACCATGTGCTCAGCTCTGGAGTTGTATTTGTGCAAAACAATTCTGTTCTGTTATTTGCTGAAAGGGAAGAAAAAATGGCTCAGCACAGAGATTTCTTAGACCAATTACAATTCAGTGAGATGTATAAAGAACTGTGTGAACGCAAGTTGAAGTCAAAAGGAAAGCATTCTTAAAACAAGTTTCAAAGCTGTAAGATTTGATTATGATTTATGATTATGTAAGATTTGATTAGCTCTAAGATTTGATTATGACAGGTTTTAGGAACAGATTAACTTTTCAGCTCACAGCAGTTTCATGGAAAAAATAACAGCAAAAAAAAAAAAAATTAAAAAAACAAGAATTCGAAGATAAGAACTCAAGCTTTGAAAAAGATCAAGTTTTTCACACGGAGTATCAATGTGCAATACAGATTAAGAATAGATATCTGAGGAGCAATGCTGAACCAAAATATAAACAGACTATATCCAGCAAAACAAATGCAGCAGATTCACAGAATTACAATGCATGGAAGTTTCAAAAGGAAAATCACTAAACATGATCCATAAATGGATCTAATGTGCACATATCTACGCACACTTTCCTCTTCATTCTCTGCTACAGTAGCCGAACAAGATTTTCCAGAAATTTAGATGTTTTAGTCAAGGTTCCAACATCACTGAAAGCTTTAATAAGAGGAATACTATTAGCATTACAGTACTTAAAAATATGCATTGTCCCTGCTTATGTGATGAACAGGAGTCAACAGAATCTTTAAAATTGCTCTGGTAGAGGAAAGAAAAGATAAAGACCTTTTGGATTTTATTGTATTTTTTTTCAATCTCCAAAAAGTACAAAAGCAAACAAACAAATAGCAACAACAAAAACTCCTACTATACATTTGCCTCAACAAAGATACAAGCCTCTCATACACCAAGGAAACATTTCTTATGGACCTAGTATCATAGAACCTTCTGTCTTGCAAAGAAAATTTCACTCAGGAAGCATTTAAAGAAAAGGCAACTCTGGTAAAACCAGCACCTGTTAACATGAGGCACGTTATAAATTTGGTATGATATAAATATTATTCTGACAATTTCTTAAAAGGCTTTCATTTCATTATTACGTGGATATTAATTTATCAAAAAAAAAAAAATCTGTATGATAGTTGCTTCTTAATCCACATGAAAGAGATTTTGAGATTAATAATGACAGAGATAAGTGCATTCTCTGTTTTTAGCTACTATTCCTAGTGATATTTCATTCTTTCTTGAAAAAGCTATCTTTTATATGGCCATCTGCATAGTAAGTGAGAAAGAAAGGGGGAGGTTTTCCAAACAGGGATATTATCAGAAAAGTGTGGGTATAGCCCTAATAGACAGATGTCTATTTCATTATTTTAAGTTGCTCAATCAGCTTGACAATTCTAGCACCATTTAGGCACTTGAGAGAGACAATCTGCTTACTGTGGGAAAGAAAAACAGAAATCTCAAGAGAACTGAAGTATTTCCTGGAATCTGGAATCAAGCAAGGATACAGTGTTAATAAAATGCTTTTTGTCTCAGATTTTGTCTTTAGTTCAAGGACGAAAAAATAAAAACCAAAAACAAAAAAACCCAAACAATAATTCTTTTACCATGACTTATATTATCAATCCAAAACATAACAGTGTTAGGGCCACGTTAGTTGTAAGTTCTTCTGTGTACTGAAAAAAGTGGAGCCCTGCAAAAACACTTCCTTGCATTCAGCACCATACTCTACATAACAGCAGATTTTTACAGATATGTGAAGCAACTCATACTTGAAGTCTAGTTTTCAAACTAAAAATCAAATATAAAATGCACACACACAAAATCTCTTCACATCCATTACATGCTGATTTTTTTTCTAAAAAAGCAGAGATCTTAAAAATAGATAAATTTATCAAAATTTAATCATTAATTTATGAATGTTACTCCAAAAGTAATGACTCCTATTTATTTCTATGGAAATTACAACAAATACAAAAAGCATAGTAATACTATTTGACAGAGCAAATTCTTAGCTACAAAACATCTTTTTCAACAGTCGCCACCATTAGCTATACATTTTCACCAGCGATGAACAAGAGCTCATCAAACTCCACACCAGTGGAGGTGACGCACTCTTTTAGAGCTGCTATGATCATGCTGTTGCTAGGATAATCTTACCCATGCAGTCCATCTTTCATCAGCCCAAAAAGATATCAGTCAGAAAATGCCAAATCCAGACTATACAATAGGCGTGGTAGGACAATCCTGCCAAGATTGGCAATGTGCTCCACAGAATTCAAATTGGCACTGGACCTGTTGAAAGAGAAGGGCAGTCTTTGCTGACTTGACTCTGGAAGTTGTAGCCTTTTTTTAGTCCGAGCCATGATGTCCCAGTCAGCGTTGATGGTTTGTTTGGGTTCCAGGAAACCCTGAAGGATCACCTTCTCTATTCCAAAAGACAGTGCACATCATTTTGCACAGCAACAGCCACATCTTGATCTTTCTCCTCAATGGAGAATTCACATCTTGCCACTCCATGTACTATCATTTTGCCTCTAACACACAGTTAGAGACACTGCATCTTGTCATCAGTAATGATATGATACAGAAAATATTCACCTTCAGCCTCATATTGGTTCAATAGGTCCTGACAAGCTTGCATACTGCGTTTATCCTGCTGTGATCATTTATAGGGTACACTTGGCACAAATTCTGCAATATTCCAATAATGCTACCATTGTTTCCAATGCATCAAAAACAATATTCAGCTTTATACACAGTTCCCTGGTCATGATCTGCTGATTCATGCACGTGAACTTATTGAGACGCTCTTCATTCTACAGTGTGATACCTGTGCATGGCCATCCAAAACATGACTCATGTTTCACATTCCTCTTTCCACTGCTAAAATGCACCACCTACCACCTTACCATTCTCGCATGCACAGTTTTACTCCCATAAACATTCAGCAAGTGTTGATGAATGTCAGTGGGTGCCATTTCTTTCACATGGAGGAATGACACATCTTTGCTTCATATGTGCTTCCAGATCAGATGCCATTTGTTGGAGGGTCCCTCTGCTGCCATCTGTTACATGGTAACAAAATACAACAGAATATTGGCAAGAAGGTTCATCCTCAATCACCATATTACCAACATCCGCCTCTGATGTCATGGGCCAACATAAGAAAGAGCATCCCTTGTATGTTAAAATAATTTGATAATAGTTACAAATAGATATTTTCATAATGGACTATTTTTAATTATGATAAAGACGTTACCAGTATCCAAAGCCTTTTATAATGCTCAGACCTCCTGGAACAAGTAAATAAGCAAACCAGAGAAGGAGACTGCCTTTCAATGTCCTGTATCTTGTGATACAAACAATCTTGGAATGAGATTAATTTCTACTTTCAATCAAAAATTAGAAGATAGCTAATAGATCTATTTCTCTTGCCTTTGAATCTGAATTGATTCAATTTTAAGCTTATAGAGTACTTTGCATGGTATTGAAATACATATTGCATTACATTTGCAAGCACCTGTCTTGGAGACAAACAACCACTCAATTACACAAATTTATCTTTTTCTTACTGTTAGTGAACTTTTATTCCTACATTCTCCTTCCCACACTGGAACACACTGGCCTTTTTTCTCCAGCGTAGCAGAAGCAACCATTAGTTACCTATTTCACATTGAACTCCAGTGATATCCTTTTACTCTGCATTCCAAATGCAGTTTCTTATTCTGTACATACTTTTTCCAGCTTTTCATTGAAGGACTTTCTGGAAAAAGCTATCCAGTTCTGCTAATTCAAATGCGTTTGTTTTTAACAGCCATTATTTACTCAGTGAGTGTAAAGTATTTCACATCTCCTTCCATAGTGCAGCATAGCTGGAAAGACACAGAATGTACCACAGTGTTATCTCCAGAACACTTTCATTTTGTCCCTTATCACTAACAACTTCACTGTCTCATGTAAAGAATGTAACTCTCAGAAGAATCCAAAAAATTTTATGAAAGGGAACAGACGTGAAAAGTGCAGAGAAAGGAAGAACTAGAAAAGAAGTAACATTCCCCTCTCTGCAGAAGATGCTTTGCTTACAAGATAAGTTGGACTGAAAGATAAGAATGAAATTATAAGAAATGTTGAATGAACAGATGATGTTATAAAAGCAGAAAATGTTGTGAGAGAAATTAGGCAGAATAACACACAATCATGACCAGGTCATGGAAATAATCCTTTTTGAGGAGGACAGCTGAACCAGTGCTAATGGTTCCATAATGAGATAAACATCTCCAACAGCTTTCACACTTTAATTGTTGAAAAGACTACTCACATCCTGATTTGCTCATGTTCCAGAGGTACTGAATTCTCACCTCTTTTCATATTGACCATGTTTGTAAGGAAGACAACTGTACTTTCTCAAAGTTTTATAGTATCTCCTTGTCTCTTTCAAAACACTTCATTCAGAAGAACTTATAATACATTGCATCACAGTTCAGGTTCTGCTTTTCTGACCTCAGGGAAGCTCATACAATGAAATAAGAATTATTTCTGCCTCTCTCCCAGCAAAACACACATACATATATATAAATACATATATACACACATGTATGTGTGCATTCACACATATACACACATGCATGTATGTATATATACGTGTATATTTTGCTGGGAGAGTAAAAAACAAATTTACAAATGTGTACCATATATACTTTGTGTGTATATGTATACACACACAAACAAACACATTCCTTTCAGTCTTTCAGAACAAGATTCTCTAGCAAACCACAAGGGAAAGAAACTGTCACCTCTGTCTCATGCTGTCATCTTGGAAGAGATGATGTTTTGAAGTTGAAACAAAAAAGCAAAAATGATGATAAGCTTTCTTATCAAAACTGAGCACATCTGTAATTTCAGAAAAGCCTGTGTTGCAAGAACATGCAATACATCCACATAGTGAAGTGAACATACAGAAAGATAGTTCTGGATTTATTGGTTTATAAACAGCAGGAAGTGAATAAATGTGTTTATTTAACTATGGGTGCCAAATCAGGATAAGGTCCATAAGAAATATCCACATCTAAGCATTCACATGGGTGAGTTTTATAACTGCACCTGTGAAATACGTTTCCTTCTTGTGCAGACAGGTTACCTACACAAAGTATGTCAAACTGCAGGGCAAGGCATAACAGATGTACTCGAAGGAAGGCAGGAAATATGATAGTACCTAGACATCATTGCCATTTTTACTGTAAAACCTAACTGACTTTTATTATAAAATGCAAAGGGGAAGAAGTTTATATTATCAACAGAGTAGAATTCTACATGGCGTAAATCTACAGCTTCAAATACACACGGAGATCAAGTCTTTCACTGAATTGCTTAAGATAAAACTAAAGTCCTATACACTGGCAATCTACAAATATGGAAATAGAAAATAGATTATGAACACAGGTTTACCATTGAAGTATAGCGTGACCTTAAATAACTCTCTTTATGTCATTTATTTCAGCAGTAAATTGGGGTTAACCACACTCAGTACACAGATGTATTGAAAAATCTCAGCAGTTGAAAGTGCTTGTGCAACCAAGTGGCACACTTCTGAGTACTGGGACAGCATTACTGGCGTTGCACAGCTGCATTCCTCAGCCCCATTAATCCTCCAGAGGAAGTCTGTAGGGAAGCCCCACATAGCATTCCAAGTGCAACCCGGATTACTGGCAACATCTTCCTCCACTGTTCACAGTAAATAAATAGAAAACAAAGAACAAATTCCAAAATATATGAAGTTAGCTTTTGAATGAGTAACAACACTAATTCTGCACACAGAAAACAGCATTGAAATTTCTTCATGGTTTTGAGTATATAATTTGATAATTGCTTATCATTCACATCAGCTATTGCCGTTTGAAATAAGCAGTTAACCACTATATAACTCAGCATCTTTACAATGCACTGCCTCACAAGTTTCTACAGGGGATAAACTTCAAGTAAATGAATGTCTGATATTCCTGGAGAATTCCAATTTGTTACTTTTTATTTTTACATTTGGTCAAGGAAGACGTAGTCAGAAGTCACCTTGGCAAACATAACACAAATCTGTGGCTCCTGAAGGGGCCACCAGTGTTGAGGGAGCTGGCAGAAATGATTGCCAAGGCATTCTCTATCATATTTCAAAAGTCACGGAAAATGGAAGAGGTATCTGAATACTGGAGGAAAGAGTCTAGTCTTGTTCACATCTTTATTGGTGACCTGGATGAAGGGATAGAATGCACCCTCAGCAAGTTTGCTGATGATACAAAGCTGGAAGGAGAGGCTGACATTCGGTGGCTGAAGAAGAATGTGCTTCCATTTAGAGTGAACTGGACAGGATGGAAAGTTGGGCAGAGATGAACTTTACAGGCTTCAACAAGGACAAGTACAGATCCTACACCTGGGGAGGAATAATCACATGCGTTGACACAGGTTAGAAAGTGACCTGCTGAGAAAGAGATCAGCAGAGAAATTCCTACGTGTCCTGGTGGACAGCAGGTTGCCCATGAGCCAGCAGTGTGCTCTTGTGGACAAGAAGGCCAGTGGCATCCTAGGGTGCATCAAAAACATGTCCAGCAGGTTGAGGGAGGTGATCCTCTCCCTTTACTCTGCCCTGGTGAGGCCACAACTGAAGTTCTGTGTGTCCAATACGGGGCTTCTCAGTGTGAGAAAAGCAAGGAACTTGCAGAGGGAGTCCAATGGAAGGCCACAGAGATGATTAAGGGCCTGGAGCTTCTCTCTTATGAGGAAAGGCTGAGAGACCTGGGACTGCTTAACCTGGAGAAGACTGATTGGAGAGACCTTACCAATGCATACATATATATATCCGCAGGGCAGAGGTCAAGTGGATGGGGCCAGGCTCTTCTCAGTGGTGTCTAGGAATAGTACAAGAAGCAGCGGGCATAAACTAGACCACAGGAAGTTCCTTGCAAACATGAGGGAAAAAAAAAATACTTTGATGGTGATAAAGTACTCAGACTGGAATTGTGGATTCCTCTTCTCTAGAGATATTCAAAACCCACATGGACACTTTCCTGTGAAACCTACTATAAGGAACATGCTTTAGCAGGTTGGGGTGGACTAGACGATCTCCAGATGTTCCTTCCAATCCCTACAGTTCTGTGATTTACCTGAATATGCTCAGAGTAGAGTAAGTTCCCAAAAAAGCTAATGGTGAGGAAGGAGAAGCAGAGATGCAAGCCTTCTTATCACCCACCTAATATCAGTGCAAGAGCACTGTAACTAGCCCTGAGTGACACCAGGATCAAGCTATATATAATGTCAGACCTATACACTCTCATGCATAGTCATTTTTGTAAAAAGAATGAATCAGTAGGTCAATGCAAAAGTAACTAGGAGTAGGATTAGATGTACCTGAAACTATCACAAAAGATTAACAAGGCCCATCATGTGCACCTATTCTCCCACCCCAAAGTATTACCACTTCTTTCAAAAATACCAATCACCAAAAAAATAAATCTATTTTGCTTAATGTGGCTAAAACTAATATGTATGTGTATGTATATTATATGAAGTATGTCTTTTTTCTTTTATGGAAAAAAGCAAATAGTAATGAAGACAGCAGCTCTCAGCTGTTATCTTTAAAGTTCTCTCTTTAGGAAGTTAAGATTAGTAGTTTATAAAGAAAAAAGTTTAAAAAGCTTCTAGTTTGATATATTTTAACTACATACTTTTTTTTTTTTTTTTTTTTTTTTTTTTTTTTTTTTTTTTTTTTTTCTTCAAGTGCTGAAACACTGTTAAACAATGTAACAGAATCTGGAACTATCTGATTTTTACTTAATTTTTTTGAGAATCTAAGGGTGCCATGTACTTAGCTCACATTTACTAGATTCCTTAAAGTATAGGCTTTTAGTTTCTTATTCCTTTATGAGCTGATACATTATTCTTCTGTCAGATAAGTGGTTAGATTGAAAATACCATAAGAGACACGGGCTTTACTTTTATTTTGAAGTATTAAATGTAAAATCCCATCTAGGTATTAAAAATAAATTACTGCTCCCAACATCATCCTGACAAACTTAATTGATCAATGAAGTCTCTTTCCTTCATAAAGCTTTCCCAGCGCAAACATCAAGAGATATCACCAAGCAATTGATCTGCAGGCAGGACCAGGCCCAAGAACTTAGCACCAACTTTGTGCATAAAGGAAGACCACTGCCCTGAGAAACACTCAACATCACCTAACACAGTGCAGTCACAAAACTGTACTGTTTTATTTCCAAATCACATGAAAGTTATTTCTGTCCATGCTACTTACTGAAGTAATGCCATAACTACTCTGTGAAGCACTACAACGCTCTGATTGATGCCCTCAAGGCTCCTGACTATTTCCACTGACTAGACAGGAAGCACAGACACCACAGATCTTTATGCAATGCAGTGTATGCTCACAACGTAATGCAAGGAAAGACCTGACATATAAGGCTCAAGCTTTAAGCACAGACTGAAGTAGAAATGAGCAACCTCCTAAGATCCAAGTTGTCATGGTAAGAAAAACCCTTTGTCTTAGATTTGGTTATTTCAAGAATAGACAATATACTATAACCTAGCATTTGATAAATTCATGTCACCTAGTCTTGTGTTAACATGTTGAAACATTGTCTGAAACCTATCTAAACTCACAGGAGATAGAAAACTTAAACAGTGTCACCTGATGAGGCATATCCAGATGCTCTGATCATGACCCAGTAAAATCAACTACAGCTCTCCCCTGAATTTTCCTACAAGTTAAGCTAAATCTTCAAAAACTGAATTTCAGTAATGAATTTCTGTATGCGTAATTCAGGCCCCAGTAAACTGAAATTGTTCTGAACAAAGTAACCTTAGCCTGCTAGTAGAACATGCCCAAATCAGTTTGTAGCACAGAAAAAAAATAAAATAAAAATAAAAATGGGAACTATTTAAATGTTGAGTTTGTATTGTATTTTTCAAAATACTAACTCTACACACTACCAATGATGATAGTGATACAGTGTTGAACTACTTTTTGCTTATACCAACACTCACTTCTTAATGGGTGCAAGTTTGTATATCCAAAATTTAAAAGACAATTGACGTGAAGGATTTCACTTTCCACAGTTCAGATTTTAGTATTTTTTCATATTTTTTGTATTTTTTTCATTTTTTATAACATTCTAGATATTTTTTTTTTCCAGTAAATGCAGTACTGCATGCAGCAGTCAGAAAAAGTGTATTAATGAATGTGCTTGCACATCTGGCTACGGTACAAGTTCAACCATTTTTCAAATCCTCAACATTGCCAGCAACTGCCAATCAAGGACTGAGAAAATTAAGTGTTTTCTTGAAGGACTTGATTTGTCTCTGTATAAACATTAGCTAGAGTGTTACTGTTTGGCTAAAAACAGGCTAAATTAATTTGTAGTCAATCATCATCTTATCCAGATCCACTGTCTTCCAAAACTGCGAATAAAACACTTTTGCAGAACCCTGGCAATGCCAGTTTACCAGCTGTACACTGAAAAGGAACATTAAGTTACAGAAGAAAAGAGAAGTGGAGAACAAATGCACTATTATTCAGACAGCTTATCTCCTCCAAAAAACAGACCTATGGTTACTCCTCTTTAGAATCAGTCTTTATTGAATTCCATTCATATTACAGAAATACAAGGCATCTATGTTCCATACATAGTTTAAAAACTGCACATTTTTGAAAAAAGTATATATAAAATTTACACTCCAATCCATTAATAGTACAAGTACAAAAGCTATCTGCTGAGGAACTCTTCCTATTTAAGAAGTAAGCTTACACTATAAATAGCTTAAGTAATAAAAACAAATTTAGTTAGGAGGGAACAAAACTTCATGCTGAGGATTTTACAGTTAGCTGATTTTCATATCATCCTTACTTTCTAAAAATTCACAAATGCACAAAAGAAAGTGAGATATCTGACTCCACACTTGAAGAAGTGTGGAAGAAAAAAAACATAAATATTTATCCTTGAGCCTTCTATAGCACGCACAACTGCATTCTTGTCACACTTCCCTAACTCAAGGTGTTCAGATTCAGTCTGCATATAGAGGGTACACTCAGAAATGTGAAGATAAATCAAATGGAGATGAAAATCAGTGGTGAGTTATAACAGTTTCCAAAGCAAACACTCAGGGCTAAAAGATCTCCTACTTTGCATAGCACAGATCCTCAGAGAATTTTTTCACCCAGCAATTCCTTCAGCTGGGGAAGAAATTACAATAAAGAGACTTGGGCTAAACTCTTAAAACAGTGCTTTTACCCTGCTCAGAAAATGCCTTTGTTTTCCTTTATATTTGCTGCATCTTTAAAGGTAGCAGCCAACTTTTAAAGCTTATTTTTAATATGAATCAGGAATGTGCAGAAGGGAAATCAGCGTGGCATGGCTACACCTAACAACAATCTCCTGGTGAAAGGGCTCTAAAACACTTTGCTGAAAGAGGTCTTCTCTCTTGCAATTTACCAGGTCAATTATCACTAGTTCCAAGGGAGAATCATGTCTCCTAGGGGCAAGAAGCTGTAAAATTGCATTTCACAGGAGAGGTGGGGAAAAAAAAAAAAAAAAGCAAAAAAAAAAAAAAAAAAAAAAAAGCACAAAACTGCTGATCATCAGAATTATTCACCCTCAAACTATCTCAGGTATTTATTTCTTGTTCATTCCTTCAGAACCCACTATACTTGGGAGTCCTTAAGGACTCTTTAAAACCAACAACTATGATTACAGAAAAATTCAAGAGTTAATAGGTGTTTGGAAATCAGAGATATGGAAAAAAAATAATAAAATATGACTTTTAAAGTAGCAGCAAGGTTCTGCTTCACTAATCTCTGTTCACCCTTCTTTTGAGATGGAAGCAGCAGGATGCCAAGATCCTTCCTTTAGTCAGATGCTGCAGCTTTGAGTAGCTGAGGCAATGGTAGGAGAACTAGGGTCCTGCATTACCATCTTCCAGTATTTCACAACAAAGAAGGACACGGTCCTTCTACAGTCCTGCCCTCACTAATGTCAAACACAGAGAGATGCCAGATGATTTCCACCACATGAGTGAGAATTCTTCACTCTTAAAAGGAATGTTATGGGACTGTGGATGCCATTCAAGCAATGAGAAGATATTTCTGACTCATAAAAGAGAAACAGCCAAGCTGAAAATATACTAAAAGCTTGTACTTACAGAAAGACAGAGAGCTTTTACAAGAGAAGGAATTCACCCAACATGAATTCCTCCAGTTGTCTGACAGAGGACAAATGTGATAGATGAATGGCACGTTTCTCTAAATTACGGTAAATATTCCCTTGAACTTCAGGCTCCACCAGCATCGGTGCCACCCAACAGGAGAAAGAAGCCAGACAACCGAAGTTTAACTTTCCATTAACAAAGCCGGCAGTAACAGAAAGCAGGATAGGCAGTGATGGCGGCTTCCCCGGACTATAAGGTTTATTCCCTAACACATTACGCTGAAGAAGACCAGAAGAAACACTTTATATTTTCTATCCGGCGTTCCGCCACTTTCCAATACTCTGAAAGCCTCACCGAGAAGAGCGACGGGGACGCGCGCGAGTGAGGGTCGGTGCCGGCGAGAAACCCCCCGCCGGGCAGAGCAACACCGCCCCGCCCGTAGCAGCGCTGCCAGACCCGCACCCGCCCCCCGACCCACGTCGCCCGGCCTCTGCGCTCCGGCGAGGTGCGAGATGAGGTACCGGCGCGGAGTTAGTCGTTGACTCGCAGCCCACTTCCCTACAGCTCCTCCGGTGCACTTCCCAGCCCCAGCAGCTCGGCTGCGGCTCAGCCCCCGCACCGCACAAGGCGGGCAGCCAAGCCCCTCCACCCCTCCCTGCAGCCACCGTGGCCCGCGGACTACCGCCGCCTTCCGCTCACCTTCCTGCAGGCGGGATCTCTCTCCTCTACTCGTTGCAGCGGCGCGGGCGCCGTTGAGCGTCCAGCAGTGAGCTCCGTGAGCGCCGAGCCGTACCGCACGGAGCCCCAGCAGCGGCGGCCGCCGCGCTGCCAGCGCTGAGGCGTGAGGGCGGCCCCACGTGCGCCCGTTGCACCAATCGGCTCCGCCCGCCACCGTCCCGGGCCGCCCGCAAACCGGGCGCGGTGGCGGCCCCCGGTCGAGCGCTGGTTTGGGAAGTAGGGAAAAGCGAAACGCTGGGCTGGGAGTTTTGGATCTCCGGACGGGAGGGAACAAAGTAACCCTAGGCAGAGAGCGTCCCGAGGCGGCTTCAGGGCCCGAGACAAGGGCTGAGGGAGATGAAACGGACAAGGCTCTGAAGTGGAGCGCATTTATAAAGCAGCCCTTCAGTTTGCCGAGAACTGAAATGTGTTCGCGGCTTGTCAAAGAATAGCAGCAGTGTAGGAGTGGCTCTAGCTTTTCTAAATGGTCCGAAAATAGAACAGCGCTACAGCAGCAAAGGGAACCTTTTGCCAGGAGAGCAAGAGCGGCTGGCGCAGCTTGGGACTTCTTGAAAGGCACAAGCATCGCATTTTATAAAGCATCAGACCTCAGCTAAATTGTAACAGAGCACCACACACAAAGAGTGCAACTGGAAACAAATGTTGCCCCTGTACTCTGCTCCTGATTTGAGGTGTCCAGTCTCCATGTCACACTTCCGGCAGCACTGCGCTCACTGTGGCCACACTTAACAACAATTTGGGATGAAAACATGCACTCTAAACATACCAAATATTTTTTGTACTGTCGTTTGTGATGTTTACAACTTTGCATTGTTGTATGATTGTTAACAGGAACTGTAATCAGTTTCTGTTATTTATTGACATTGCACTGTAGGTTGGTGAGTTGCTGTGTGTGCATTTTGTTCCCATCATTCTGTCTTCTAGTTACTGGTGTGACATACTGATAGTTGTTCCCAGTGGCCTCAGTTTCTCAATCAATTACTGTCTATCATACTGCTGCTCCTGCAGACTGCTCATGAAATGTGCTCTCAACTCCACCAAGTGACTCACCTTAATTCCAATGGATTTTTGCACAGCTGTCGTAGAAACAGGCTGATCAACTTTTGTTGTAGGCAGCAGCTTCCCACAAAAGCTTTAGTGCCTCCCATCCTTGTTGCAAAGATTATCAGCCTCCAGTGTCCTTCTCTTTTTCCTATCATTTGAGTATATTTTTCCAAAAAAGACAGCTTCCTTTCTAGTAAGATCCTTGTTACCCATTGTATCTCCAGCACCCTTGGGCTTATGCCCAGGTGCCCAGCCATGAGAAGTAGGGAATACAGGCCACAGCTCTGAGAGGCAATGCCACAAAAAATGTCAGGTGGTAGCAAGGACAGTCAGACTGTTGTAGTGTTCAGTCCTTCAAAAAGCCCATGACTATCCTTTTTAGAAAGATAACCTGAGATTGGCCCTGATGTGTGTTTTTATCTACTATGTAAATATTGAGTCTTCTGAACTTTATGATGTCTCCACAGCCACACAGATCAGTAACATAGAAGATGAGGAAGTCATTAAATTACTGCTTCCAGAAACCAAGAAGAAGAAAGATGAATGCACATTTGGGCACAATCAAAATGACACCTAGCAGCCCTTAGGTCTTTTTTTTTTTCTTTTCTTTATTTATTCTTCTTTTACTTCCACTACTGTTTTCTGGTGGTTATTCTCTTTTCCCTGTAGGTTCTCTGAAGGTAATGTGTTTCAAATTAGAAAGTTGAAGTCTAGGGTTTTGTTTTTTGTTTGTTTGTTTGTTTTTGTTTGTTTGTTTTTTGGCAGGTATTCCAAACTTTCAAATGTGCCTCATTTTTGCTACCATCATCTTGTAGTCTTATGGTATTTACTTTCAGTAAGCTAACTGCTACTAGTAATGCTAAATTACCTTGATAGACTTCAGGTTATGTTTAAGCATTTACAATGATATGTACTGTTCTTCTAAAATGGCTTCTTAAATGTCCTTGGGCCTTGTTGGATTGAAGTGTCATGCTTGTGCTCAGCCATTGTTCTGATCCTACATGAAGATAAATGTACTACTTAGATAACACAACAAACAGATAACACAGTCCAACAGGCTTCAACCTTCATGCCATACAGGTATAGGCAAGTAAATACTTTTTTCACACGTAAGTAACATTAAACAACCCCAAAAAAGATCTCTCAATAACCACACAAAATTGTTTGAGTGCCTTAGGGTTCTGTCAAGTGATATCTAGTAGATGTAAATGAATACTTTGGGAGCTTAATGCCCACAGCACTATGCCAGACTGTTTCAGAGTGCTTTCTGTCTTCATGGTCTTGCCTTTGTGCCTCTCCTACATGAATCCTACACAATTTTCGGCCTCTCCTACATGAAGTGTGCTACCTTGGTACAAATTAACCTCACTTCTATCCTAAACCACATCCTGGTGGTTATCTGGTTCTCCAGGACTCATTCAAGTACTCAAACATAAATCTTAGCCTTTGTTCCAGGAGCAAATGAAGCTGTCAAAATGGTTTGTGCCCAAGATAGGAAATATTCTTGAAATTAAATTTCAGATAATAAACTACTTCTCTGAAGCATGACCTCTAAATTTAGGACAATTCAATATCATGCAGGCCTGGAAGCAGGAAATCTACTAAAGCTGTACAGCTGAGCCACTGGAGTGCCTAGGACTGTCACTGATGAGTAGTTAGATAAAGGAGTGACGAGAAGATGTCAGAGGGTTGAAAGAGGACTGTACAGGACACCTTGTAGTACTATGTGGGAAACTGAGCAGGCTAGAAATAACTCAAACATAACATTTAAAGATACGTAATCTGAATAAATACTTCTGCAAACAAGTGATGATGTTTAAGTTGTGCTTAACAAAAACAATTTTACTATAACTTGCTGCAGAGAATTAATAGAAATTACTAATGTTTGCAAGAAAAGCAGTTTCTTCGCTGTTATCTTCTGATGTTTATTCATTTCCTGTTTAGATTAAAAATAACATCCTTACCTTCAAACTCAGGTCTTCCTTATTTCATCTCCAACTAAAAATTACAGTGTTTAATTAAGAATAAAACCAAAATAAATAGCTATTAATTCAAATCTAATTAAGGTACTAGTAAGTTATATAGAGAGAATAGTGTGTGTATGCATGTAAAAGCAGAGTCTCAAGGTATTAGTACAGATTAGGGCTATCCACTTCCTCAGATAAGGGCACTAGAATTTGTTATCACAGGGTGAATATGTACTGCTTTAAAAACAGCTTTGTGAAAATGAGATGAAGAACTGTCTTTCATGACCAGAGGCACCTCAGGAACCTTTCAGACTTATAGCAAGTCAGTAGGGAGCATGAGTGAACCTTGGAAAGAGGAGATCTTGGAATAGTCGTGACATTTTCTTAACATTCCCAACAAGATGCACTTTAATGCTAATAAATAAATAAATAATGTGGGTTTGGCAGCTTTAAGAGTTATAAAAGTTCTTGCATAGTTCTGAGTGCTTGCTTGTAGGATGGAAGGCCTTAGCATTCTATTAGGTCTGATTGGCCTAGCCACTAATTGCAGCCTTCTTTGGAGCAGCAGATAAGATCTATGTGTAATGGTTATGATTACTAGGGGAGTGAACAGCACATGTCCATGACGCCACATGCTGGCTGGCTTGACAACATGCATGACTTGACCACAAACATCCTGCAGTGATTTGTAATACGGTAAGGGTAATGCAACAGAAAATTATCTATAATTTACATGACATGCCTTTCTACTTATCATCTCAAAGTATTTAATATCATTGCTGTGTGGAGAACAGTGCTAAAGGTCATTGGGATGAGTATAAAATTTAAGGAGTTTAGAACATAAGAAATATTCTTTCCTAATATTTATTTAAAAATATGTACAGCTGTGGGGTTTTTTTTATGGTAAAGTGGATTAAAAACAGACCCAAATTGATAATTTACTGAAATAGTTGAACTTCAAAGCACTTGGGGATTATTTCATTGGCTGTGTACAAATACAATTACGTTATTTTCTTAGAAAGAGCTTTCTTATTCAATTCAATTCAATTCAATTCAATTCAATTCAATTCAATTCAATTTCTTGCTCTGAATGAAATAAATTCCAATTGTTTTTGTAATTTTTTCTTCTCCCAGAAAGCCAAGCAGTGTATTTTTCATCACTACATTGATGGTAGGCCTTGATATTTTTTAAAGCAGAAACTGTTATGTTGTTTCATATTTAAAATATAAAATGCACATGAAACATTTTCTCCTTTTTAAAGATTATATTTGAAGCATCTTAATAATAATGCTGAGGAGGAGATTATATAAATACAGCTTAGACAGGCAGCCAATTTTTTAAAACTGTATACTTTCCAACTACATTATCTCTCTTTGACCCTCATAGGTCACATCAGGAGAAACAGGGCTTGATCCTTACTTAAGAGGAAAACCATGCAGTTCAGTCAGCTCACAACTGGAAATGTCTCAGACTCTTAAATGTACCTGACTGTACCTTTCTATTTACAACCTGCATAGCTCAGGCAAAGAGTTAAGGTAAATGTCACCTATACGTACTTCAGCATCTAGATAAGCTGTGTAAAATCATTATTCGTTGACACCATCTTGTCTTAGCTAAAGAAGTTTTAGATACTTGCTGTATTAGCTTTTGCATCTAAAAGCAGCCCCACCATCCCACCTTAGGTAAAAGAAAACTGTCCCTTTCTGCAACTCTTGTCTATTAAAGTTTGGTTCCCATCAAGAGGAGTAGGTAAAAGTAGTCAGGCAAAAACTCCTAAAATAGAAAGAATGGTTGAGGAAGAGAAAGTCATAAAATAATACGCTCTTGCTAATATCCAAATTCTAATTTTAAAAGTTAGTATTACATAGTAAGTGTATCACTGCAGCTAGCTTCCATTTGTCTAGTTCATTATGTCAATGATAAATATTCTGCAAGGTATACTGGCCTTGTTCTGAATGGTGTACTTTCACTTCACTGGGTTCTTGTAGCTAGCCAGTTACAGTGAGATTACTTACCTTTGCATCTAACAGTCATCCTCAAACTTTCTATTAATTTTCCTTTAATGAT